TCTCTCTCTCTCTCTCTCACACACACACACACACACACACACACACACACACACATTTGAAGGTTATTTTGACCATGACTAAATTTTCTCTTATTACCTGGCATAGAAATAACACATCTCTTCCAGTGTCATACAGAGACCTCCTTGTCTCATAAAGAGGTGGTCCAATCCTCTTTGATTCTGTAGAACAACCTTGGCTAAAGAATCTGAGATTCCAGATGGGAAGCAGAATTTTCTAGATGGCTCAGGTCTATGTCTACTTGAGTATTGAGTGGTTTAAAGTTTTTACCCCCGCTCCATTACCTAGGGGGCTATGTTCTAACTGAAGCAGAGCTCATGATACCTGCCCCCACCAATAAAGGAATGAGAATGAGAAAGCCCAGAATGTAGATTTAGGTGTGTCCTGATCTCTTTTCCACTAAAGATGAACATCTGTGGTATAACACATATGAGGATGCAAAGGAATGGGTTCTCCTCCAGTGCAAAAAATTCAGAAGGTGCACATTTGGTTAAGTCATTAGTGCAAGCAAGCCAGGTAGTCTCTGGGGCCTGGAAATACATTCAACCAGCATCCCTGGAATTACCTGCTGTGTATGGCTACAGGAATCTGTATGGGGGACTATCAAAGGGGTATCTTGGTGACATTAAACAGGTACCCTTTCCTGGAGGCCCCCAGAGTGAGCTCAGGTTGGTCCCATTTACAGCTCTTAGGGTTGGAAGTGGAGCTTATTGAAGGCGTAGGAGGGTTCAAGCATAGCCAGTAATTCTGACCTATGTCTGGTTAAGAATGATAGACTCTTTAGCATCACAAACACTGGGGGGCGGGGAGGCTGGCTTCCATGCCTCTGGGCTTTTATCTTTGAGGTTACCAAGGATTTTCTGGGGAAATTGAAGTTTCAGGGGTTGCCATCTTAAGGAGCTCATCTTTCAGGTGTCCCAAGATGGGTTGGTTTGGGCTTCTGGGCTGGGTGAGTCTAGGTGCAGGTTTCCTTTTGATAGTGAATTTGCTGCCTAGATCTGGACTATTCAGGTATAATTTTACTCCCCAGATTCTACCAGTTTTCCAATAATGATTTTTGGTTTCCTGCCAGGTCCTAACTTATGTGGATATGGGATTGCATTGCCTGTGGCCATAAGCAATATTACGAAGTGATCAGTGTGTCCCCAGGAGGACTCAGTTTTATAACCGCATCAAGCACAATGGTATTTGTCTGGCTTCTGGCAGTTTGGAGGGCTGTCAGCTGGGCAGGCATAGTTTTGGATAGATCAGAGCCCCTTCTCTTCAGTGTACCCACAGCCTTGGGGGCATGTTCCTCCTCAGGAGCAAGCCAACCACCCTCTGGTAGTCTCTGGATGTAATATTTTATAGAAATCTACCTGGAAGGTGGGTTGTGTCTCAGTGGATAGATTGGCTATGAACTCCCTGGTTCTGGTTTTAGCTGGGTGTGCAAGGTCCACAGAGTGACATCAGAGATGTTGGTGACCTTCATTGTTGTTTTTGGTAGGATTCTATTCACTTATATAAGGTTTCCAGGCTGGAACTTGTGGGCAGGCTCCGATGTAAGCAAGGGTGCATCCTCTTGAACCGGATCATCTGACGAATAGTCATCTAGGTGTATTACAGGGTCTGTGAGGACTTGAGGAGGGAATGGTCCCAACTGCTGGTCTCTGAGCTGTGGAAGCAGTGGGGAGGTCTTCCTAACGTAACCCCGTCGAGGTAAATCCCTCCCTATATGGGGTGCAGTAGACCCAAAGCAAATCAAAGGAAGGTGGTCTATCCAACCTCCACTGGATTCTAATGAGAGTTTTGTTATTTTTTTTTAATATGCTCAGAATTTAGTGGGCTATATGCTCAGTGAAATTTTCAATCTATGTCCAAAGCTTTAGCTATTAATTGAGATATTATTGGCTGTGAAAGCTGGGCCATTATCAGACCCCCTTTTCTAGAGGGAGGCCAATTTGGGGGTCCACTTCTTGGAGGAGCTTTTTAGCTACTATTTGAGCAGTTTCAGTACAGGTGGAGGAAAAGGTATCCACCGGGAAAAGGTATCTATAAAAACTAGCAAGTACTTGCATCCTCCTGTGGCAGGCTGGATTTCCGTGGTCTATTTCTCAGAGTTGGCTGGGGTGTTGACCTCTCATTTGGACTCCTTCCTGGGTAAGGAATCTCTCTTTTGGATTTACTTGAGCACTAACCTGACATTGGTTGAGACATCCAGCGCCAGACTATCCAGTCTAGACATAACGGACCTTGATCTGAGCAACTGAGAAAGTTTTATGGACCCCAGAATAATAATGAAAGTCAGTTACCAGAGTCCTGTCATTTGTTTCTGAGAGAATGATCTGGTGTCCTCCATCAACTGGGGGTTCAAGCTGTCCATATTTTCTTTTTTGCATCCTCTATTTCCTCTTGTTTATACCATGGAGTCTCAGGCAACCAGGTCAGGGTATGTCACCAGAATATCAACAGGCCCACTGGTCTTAGGGACACTTGCTGGGCAGCCAGTTACCTCTGGCCTCGCGGGAGTCATCTTCTTGATGTCTTCAGCAATGGTGGATATCAACTTGTAGGGGAAGCCAAATAGTCTCTAGGAGGGCCAAGATTTTCTGTTTGTATTTAATATCCTTTCCCTCTCTCTTTACAGGTCATACCATGGGTATGTATGCTAGTAAGAGCATAGATACAGTGATGGACTTTCCTTTCCCCATCTGAGAGCCCGGGTCAGATAGATCAGTTCTGCTCTCTGAGGTATCTGGCCCTTAGGCTTGGTCCCAAATCATTTCAGTTAAAGTAACAATTGTAGCCTCCACAAACCTGGTTTTCATCCTGGCTGCATTGGCCAGCAGCAATTCCCCTTCTAGGCCCAGGGGCAGTTTTTCTACTCTTTTTTTCAGAGAATGGCAGGTTTTGAATTTTTCAAATACACAGATCATTGGTTGAAAAGAAGCCATAAACTATGAAAGATGGCTTCCCCTTCACCTGGGTGCAACAGGCTGCTTAGAGGACAGGTCGTTGAGTGGAAGGAAACCATTTCTCCCTCCCTGTGTGCATCCCACTGAGATGGCAGGGGGGCCCTCCCCGTTCCCACACAGGGACCAGGACTGTGAGCTGAAGTCAAGCAGGGAAACAAGCAAGCACTCTGGGGGCAGACAGCTGAGACAGCAGCTGGGCGACCTAGCGGAGCCAGCAGGATTGAGGTCCCCAACAAGAGGGCACAGGTCTTATGCAGGGTGGTGGTGGTGGTGGTGAAGGAGGAGGAGGAGGAAGAGGAGAAAGAGGAGGAAGAGGTGGTGGTGGAGGTGGTGGTACTGGTGGTGGTGCTGGTGATGCTGGCCGTGGTGAATCAAAGCTGTTTCTCAGGGTTAGATTCCAAGTTCTTAGGGCAGGCCTTTATCTCCTGGAGCCAATGTCCTCCCCTCTCCATTTATGGGTTGGGGGGGGATAGAAAGCAGGTATTCAAACAGGGGAGTGGCCCCAAGTCCCCGCTGTCTCTCCCACCTGCCTTCTCTGGAGGTGCTATCTAGTCCCTCTTCCCAGCATCTCCTCATCTCTACCTCAGCCCTCATCCTTTGACTTCACGGGAACGTGGTCCGTTTCTGATGAATCAGGTTCCTGTCCCGTCAGGCCAATACATGCAAACACACACACATACACACACACACACACACACACACACACACACACACACACACACACACACACAAAACCTTTAATCTGCTAGTTACATCACTCTGAAACCAGACAGAGCTGGATTCGGGTACTCACATTTCCATTTCTTGCTGTGTGCTTTTGGGCCCCTGAACCTCACCGGTAAGAACAGAACACTCTAACCTGCCTCACAAAATTACAGCAGTGTGTTTGGATGTGAACCATGCACAGGGCAGAGGCAGGCCCAGAATTTCTGAGGTTTCTTTCCATATCCATAAAATGACCATGGTTCACTCTGTGGGGTCTGCGGATGGAGGCGGGGTACCTGGATTGGTACCAGGAGTTAAGTTAGTGCCCAGGGGGCAGTGGTCCACCATCTCACAGAGTGGTCTGTACCCGGGAGTTGCAATCTGGGGATACTGAGTTGGGAACAGAGATGGGAGAGGAGGGCTGGGGTTTGGGATGTGGGGGGATTAGACCACTGGGCACTGGTGACTCATGTTTGTGTTGTCCAAGCGGAGAGTCGGGGGCCGGTAAGACGGTTAACACCAAGCGGGTCATTCAGTACTTTGCCATCGTCGCTGCCCTGGGAGACGGGCCGGGCAAGAAGGCAGTAAGACTTGCCCACTCGGGCGCCAACCCCCACTGCTTCTCGCTGGTTTT